AATGCAACTAGTAGTCCGACGTTACCCCGGTTCTCTTAGCAACAGCGTTGCTGGGGTCAAGCCCTTGTCTGAATCTCACGCAACAACTAGTAGAAGATAGAAAAGAGAGATACCTGGGGGGCATCTAGAAAACTTTCCAAGATACCCCCATCGGGCGTTGTTCTGTTGTGTCGCGATGCTGTTGAGACTTTCTTGGTAACCCTAAACTTGGGGGTTAGCTTGGGGTTAAGCCCTAACCCTAACCCTAGATGCAGCGACTACCCCATACACTTGTATATACAACGCTGCGAGTTTCGCACTGCTATTGGGGAGACTGCAAAAGACTTTCTTAGTCACTATATATGCTATGACACCCTCTAGGGCCTATATTGGGGTGTACTTGGGGTTAAGTCAACCCTAACGCTAAGCCTAAATAGTGCGGCTTATGGGTGTCAAAACAACGCGGGTTTGGGGGGTCAAAATGGCCCGATACGGGCAGAAACCCTAACGCTAAGCCTGTTTCGGCGCGGGTTATGGGATAACCCGCGCCTCATATTGGTTAGGGCTGTCCCGTCGTATCATATTGGTTAGGGCTGTCCCGTCGTATCATATTGGTTAGGGCTGTCCCGTCGTATCATATTGGTTAGGGCTGTCCCGTCGTATCATATTGGTTAGGATTCCCGTTGGGAATCTTCAATCCTAATAAGTATAGACTAATTATCCTGGCCTTGAGACTGGTTATCCTGTCTCCAGACTGGTTATCCTAGCCTTAAGACTGGTTATCCTGCCTCAAGACTGGTTATCCTGCCTATTTGGGTAACTGTGGGTTACTGCAGGCTCCTTCTCATCATTTTCACGCTAGGACCGGTTATCCTACTAGTCTAGATTAGCCTAGTCTACCAGGACCGGTTATCCTAAGCACTAGCCTAGCTAGGACTAGCCTAGGTTAGCAGGGGCCACTTTTCACAGGATAACCAGTCCTGATCCTGAATCCCAATATGTATAGTACTAGCTTAAAGACGCTGGCAATCCTCCTAACTACGCACAGACCATTTTTTAGAGGATTCCCATTGGGAATCTTCAATCCTAATAAGTATAGACTTACTATTTAAGTATACGCGATTAAGTTTTATATAGGGACTAAGTACTTAAAAGTGTTAGTTATGTAGTGATAAATTAGGGGTGTTAGATTTCGCGAATCAGACCTAATTGTAACGGGCTAAACGCCCTTCGCCTCCCATACTCGTCTACGACCTCGTTTACTCCACCTGCCCGGCCCGATTGTTACCCTAGCAACCAGCATTGTATATAGATAGCTACGTAGCCGAGAGCTTAGCTGTCTATCGAATACAATCTTGTTACCTTGGCCTGTCCGATCGTGCTCCCGAGCTTAAGACTACCCTCCGGGGTCGAGCCCCTTACATTTTGTATTCGATCACCAGCTAGCTAAGAGGAGATCAGACAAGCGTCTAGCCCTCGCCAGAAAATTTTTTACTATCCACCAGAACTATGTCCAGCCCCAGCCAGAACCAGAACGCTCTTCTGCTGCTCGTACAGCAGCTCCAGCAAGAGCTCCAGAACCAGCGATCAGAGATTACCTCCCTGCGCGACAGCGTCGCCCAGCTCCAGCTCCAGCTTCAGTCCCGCCAGCACCCGAACGACGCTCAGACGCGAGTCCGAGTGCGCCTACCAGACCCGCCCAAGTTCGACGGCAAACCGCACACGCTGCGCACATGGTTACCGTCTATCCGAGCTAAACTCCGATCCGACCAGCTCACAGGAGCTGATGCCTTCGAT